TCAGTGAGCGGTTATTGAGCGGTTATTGAGCGGTTAGTGAGAGAAGGAGAAAGTGTACGTGGGTGAATCTGGCAGCGCCCACGTGACACACACAGCGCCCACGTGTCAATACCGCTTAATTGATCGAGTGAGCGGTTATGGAGGGGGAAAGTGTACGGGGGAATCTGGCAAGTTTTTCTAGACTGTGTCATCACATTCATTATGATAGAATTCCTTACCAACTTCTTATATATGATTATAATACTAATTGTTTTTAAAACATTCACAAAATACCACTGTTTAACCACGTGCTTTAAAAGGCCTATTTTGAAACAGTATACAGTAAAACTCCAATTTACCGCGGAGTTTGGGAAAAAGAAACAGCCGCGGTAAATCTGAGTTTTGTTTGTGTACATTATGTACGTTAAGCCCCATTTGGAGAAAGAAATGGCCGCGGTAAATCGGGGGTTTACGGTAAATCGGCCATCGGGGCGCGGTAAATCGGGGCTTTACTTTTACTGTACAGTGCACGAGGTAGTTTTAACTTGTAGCACGTGTAGACTACAAATTAAAGATATATTTAGACTTGGGGCTCATTCTCGGAGCTGAGTATTGAGAAGCTTGTGAAGTTGTATTAATTTATATCTGGACATCAGTACGACGCCTCTAATTTTAATTCTGCAGAATTACACCTTTCTTAAGAACTCAGTAACTGTTAAGAACTGTTGAGGAATGATGAGGACAGTTCTGAACAAGCTGTTAAACACCATAATATATGATACTGCAAAACCAGATAGGGCCGCAAGATTCCTTAAGTCTCAAGTGGGACTAACAGTAAAAATACATGATATAAGCATATATACCGTATGTTTAGGCAGGGTGAATCTTAAGTGTGGTTTTATGGGGTTCTACTTTGTATTAGATTCATCATCATGTTAGATATATGATTCCTTGCTCATTTGTTGGTATCTCATCTCCATTCTCCATCCAAGATATAAGGTATAGCTTGCACGTAAATATGTCTCAATTAACATAGTGTCAATGTGACTATAGAATTATAGACAAATATTGGCAAACACCCAACATCGACTTTACAATTACCAATATTATGGTGCTTATAGTCTAAATTGGCCCGTAAGTTCTAAACCATGTTGATGTCGCCCATGAGGCAATCAAAATAATCAAAGAAGAAAAAACGGAGCAATTTTCGATGATATTGTAGGTTCAAGTTCAACTTAATCTGTAATCACAATAACTCTTATTCAGGTGCCTGGTACAAATATTTTTATTTAAAACTTTAAAAGTGGTGCACGTCATGATTCGTGCGTTACTTTTCCAGGAAAAGTGCATTTAGTTCGTGATGTTTTTTCGTGCGTTTAAGTGCGGTAAAGTGCGTTACGTGCGTCTGCCTTACATGACGAAAAAATTAAAAATCTTTTATGAATCTTAAATATCAGTTATCACATAATTTGAAATAAATTTAAAAATAAATTCTTCATTCCTACATCTTAGACGTAGTTTTACACTTTAGTTCAAACACGTGCAGTTTTCTGGCAATTTAAGAATTTCTCGTGCGTATTAAAGTGCGTGCGGTTTTAAAAGTGCGTTTAGTGCGCACGAACCAACTATGGTGCACGTACCTTTACTTGTTATCTTACTTAATTCTAAGACCATTAGCTTACACCACCCTATGAAAACAATACGTTACCACAACACAGTCTTGTCTTAAAGTTTTACTCGCAAATTGTCCTTGATTAAAGCAAACGTACTTGATTCTAGTAGCCCTTACCTTGAGTGTACGTCGTAATAATATATGCCCAGAAAAACTACAAATAATTATTTATATTCCTAATTCCGTGCTATTCTTCTATGGAAGCTGTAATATTCAAAGACGTAAGTCTCTTTGATTATTACAATTACAATGTTATAATATTGGGTCGTTAACATATTTATTAATTACGTAATTAATATTTTAGCAAATTTTACCAACTTTTCAAAAAGAACTTTCTCGTGTTACGTCCATGATATCCAAGTTGCAAGTATAATCCATAGTGATTATTATTATATTATACTTGATCGAGATCTAAGCTTTGAATATTCGCTTTAAAACATATAGCTTTAAATATATAAGCTTTAAATATTCGATGAGAAAATGAGGCTAACCACCTTTTGAGAGGGTGAAATTTAAGGCTAACAAGTATACTTTTGTGTATATTTTCGAGCGATATACACGAACGCTTCCCGGAATCAGCACAATGAAGAGAACAAGATGCTGTTGGAATTTTAATTATTCATCCTCCACTGGTACCTGTAAAGCTTTTCTCGAGCACGTTGCTTAAGTAGCTTACCTTGTTGAAATTGCATGTTAACTATGGTCGTGGTGCCGGTGGTAAATCAGTAAATCATCCGATCTTATAAACGAAATATATTTTCGTGGCACAAATTTTCGTTTTTTGACCGAAAAACAAAACCGCGAATTTAAATGTCACGCAAAGATGAATGTTTTTTACGTAACCGATTTGAAGAATTTTTATAAACATTAATTCCAACTAATGTTCTAACTTCTGAACATTGCTAAAAATTTCTAACTAAACATCATAATTTGTTAAAATTTTCGTATTCTTAACTATCAACAGTCTAACTTAAACTATCAACAGACAACAGTCGATATAATACTTACTAACAACCTTAGCTTACAGAACATTATTTGAATACTCTTTAATATCGATTGGTGCAATTCTTACCATTACCCGATTCAGATAGTTTTACTTTTATTAAACGAAAGTAAGAATTTCTCTAATTGTTGTAGTAAGTAGTGTCAGAAGGAATTTTTTGACAAATGTAATTCAAGTTATAGGCTGCTTCGCTTTATTTTATGTTTCCTCTTTCATAATTTCATAAGTTACTCTGTTTTTCAATAACCTCCTGCTGCATCTGCTTGTTACTGAACGTTAATTAACCTGCCAGATAACTAATTGTAAACTCGGGATTTTTGGACAACTTTTCTCGAAAGTAGTGCTTAAAAGGACGGAACTAAAAATTGCTGCAAACTTGGTGGTTCGATTTTCAATTGGCCGTTTTTAAACAGCTTGAATGATGTTTTAAGTTTAAAAGAATTCTTTGATCTTTTCGAATACTTTGATCTTTTTTCCTCATTTTCACTACTCGATCAACTGAACAACTTAATTAATTTTTGTAGATCAATATTTAACCACTATTAGAATGAGCATAGTTTATACTATCACGTGACTAAATATAATAAGTTCTCTAGATGGCTTTGCCGGATTAACAAAAAACAAAAACGCTAACCTTCACGCTAACCCTAACCGGAAGTCTCAATCAAGCATCTGATTATCTTAGTGTATGTACTAAGAGCATCAACTTGCGGGTGAACATTTTATGTCTCAAAACCCAACATATTATACATCATTGGAAAGGTCTCATTGAGTAGAGTCGTTTGGTACCAAGTTTTGGGCAAATGGCTGTTCCTAGCGAAAGTTATAGCCCGTCAAAGTTCCAAAAATGACCATTTAAAAAATGGGGCGGGGCATCGTGTTCTTAAATTTTTTGACGAATTTTTTTTACAGCATATTGTTTATCACATTTTTTTACACAAGATTTGCTGTATGCCGTAATTTTTAATCCATTATTACAGTCACAATCAATTTATTTTGTCAACAGAGTTTGAAATATTTGAAGAGACAATTGATATTCCGCGTGGTTCGCGGCGCGCTTCTTTGTCTACAAATTGTTAAATTGCGCGTTACAATTCCGAGTAACGTAGCAGAAGACGTTTCCCTGAATTTTGTTGGGGATTTTTTAGGGGATTTGACACGGATTTCAAATCCCCTAAAAATAGTTTCGAATTGTCCCTGGGAGTGGCCTGAGTGGGTCAAGACGTCGAAAATTAGTTTCTCTGGTTGTTGGGGTCAAGTACTTCCTATCTAACCACCAAATCATGTTCCAAATACCCCGGAACATAAATCTCCTACAGGGGTAAAGATTCTCATTCTTGATTTGACCTGGATTTCAGTAATTTTGGGGTGGGCGAGGCCCCTGGGAGTGGCCTGAGTGAGTCAAGATGTCGAAACTCGGTCTTTCTGATGGTTTGGGACAGGTAATAACTATTAAACATCCTAAACATGTTCCAAATACCCCGGAACATAAAACCCATACAAGGGTAAAGATTCTCATTCTTGATTTGACCTGGATTTCAGTAATTTTGGGGTGGGCGTGGCCCCTGGGAGTGGCCTGAGTGGGTCAAGATGTCGAAACTCGGTTTTTCTAATTGTTAGGGACAAGTACTAATATAACCATTAAACCACCTGAAAATGTTCCAAATACCAGGGAACTCACACAAGTGTGAAATCCCCTACACAAATCAAGGAAACGTGCTCTCCCGAGCAGCGCACGAACAATGCCAGAGTGCATTCTCGGTTTTTGTGTCGAATGTGAATCATACCTTACAAGACATATTTATGTGGATCATAATTAGCGGGGATCGAAATTATGGGGGAACGAAAATATGGGGATTTTTTTCATAAATTCAGTAATTCAGTACGAAATTTCAGAAATTCAGTACGAAAATATGGGGATTTTTTCCAATTTTTTCCAAAAATCCCCGAATTTTGTACCATATAAATATGTCTCGACCTTTATTTTACTCTAAAGACATACTAGAAAATCCGTTGTCACAGGGAGGAAGCTAGAAATCAATTTTTATCGTATCATAAAATTTAAATCACAACCGAAGATACATGCTATTATTTCGTAGAACACTCTAAACTCAACAGTAAATGATCGAAATTTAGCTCCAAATTCTTAACACGTGCACGTGCAAGTCTCCGCCTGCTTTACTATGCACGGGAGTGGTTGTACACACAAACAGAAATCAAATACATTACATATTGTGTAGTACTAGTTATTGACTACTGATAACACATTTATAAATATGGCGAAATATCAAATATTATCAAAAATTTAAAACTTGTAAATTTGTCAAATTCATTAATTAGTCTCAACTGATATATAAAATAAAGTAAAACATCGCAGCAATAAATATAAGATGAAGACATTGACAGCTCTAATAATAGATCAGAAAAAGAAAAACGGCGTTATTTAATAAAAATCGAATCGAATAACTTAAACTACAGGTGCTAGGGCCCTTGTAAACAATCGTAATATCCTGTGAATTAAATCGATTGATTCTAATTGGTGTTCATCACTGATTAGAGGCAACAATAGGATAAGCTAGTCAGCAGTGAATAGCAATGCATCAGTCAGCGAACGCCATCGATCGTAATGTGTCTTGCTCCAAGCTTTTAACACCTGAAATTATATGTTTTGAATAACAATTACACTTAAACAAAATAACGGAACTCAAAAAGCTATTACGTTACAATATCTTAATAAAATTCTGGGTAACTAATTTAATTAAAACCATACCAACATTGAACCTACGTCTTACAATGAGCGCTATAATTTTTAGAACATAACAGCTGATAACCACCTATAAAAATTAGCATGAAGCACGTGATTAAAACCCACGATTAGGGTCGGGCAATCTATCACTATTACTGGTACCACTACCACTACCAGGTATGAGCGTAAGCTGCGTAACAAACTTAAGATGAAACAATTGATCTCTATGTAGCACTCTGCACTATATATGTATACGTATCACTATTTTGCCTAGTATTACTTATAAGATGGTGATAGAAAGTAAGCACTTATTTTCTAAATAAAATGGTATTTACTTTAAATATCAGGATGGCAATTACTAGCCTGGGCTGATCTTCGTGATAATATATACAGTAAAACCCCGACTTACAGTACAGTTTGGGGAAAGATAAATAGTGCGGTAAATCAGAGTTTTCACTTTTTGGTCCCCTTGGCCGTCGGATCACATGGTTTCTCTCCGCACAGAATTGGTTCCCAATTAGTGGTCAACTGGTCATGGACTATGGTTCACAAGTACTCAAGTGAGGGGTACTAAAACTGTGTAGGTTCAATGCTATACAGTACGCTCTTTGACCAATATCAGAAACAAAACATTATTTACCGCCCCTTCTGTCACCAAGGATCGACCGGGACTGCTTTTTTGGCCGGGACTGGAAAGGAGTGCCGGAACCAGGTATACGCCGGGACCGGGATTCAGCCAGATTTGGGACCGGGATCATAGCTAAGAAAACCAGCACTTAACACTTACACTAAAATATGGTATCCGCAACTGATAAAAAGCACAAGCACAGCTTAACCAACAAATTGGCACTTGACTCTGACAGTGTTTTGTTTATTAATTGGTAAATAATTTTGCTTTAAACTTCAGTTTTTCAAAAAATCCGGGATTAAACCGGGATCCCGGTCGAACCTTGTCTATCACTCCCTGTCATCTCTTAGCTCTCTGACACCTTATTGCTTAATACTAAGATCCTAGCTTAACAATACGTAACACACTCATATGGAGTCATTATTCTAGCTCGACGGTACTGTAAAACCACTAATTGGGAACCAATTCTATGAGAGAAATCATGTGATCCGACGGGGACTAAAAAGTGAAAACTTTGATTTACTACATTTCTTACATGTGCATCTCTTATTGCTATAATTCGACGACTTATCTGCTACTTTGTGTCCGGTGCTATACAATTGTGAGTACGTTATGGAAGATGTGTACTTAGACTCTCTAATGTAGTCAAGTAAACATTTCGACCAGCTTTCACTCTTTCAGATGCTTCTAATGATCTTGGTATTTGGGTTGAGGTAATGAAGACAATAAACTTTGATGAAGATAGTGATATCACATTCGAGAAGTTCAAGAAACCAAACAAGGACGTTCTAGTAAAGCACCTTTTTGATGCGTTTTAGGGTATTGTCTAATATCAGCGTATTCTCCACGAATAAAAAGATAGAGGAAATGAAAAGTGAAATCATCAGTGCTCAGAAATCAGCAAAAAATGCAGAGGAAACCCTTCCCCCAGCTCTGTCTCCACTTTCACGGTAGAAAACTTGAAGAAAGTAGTTTGGAATGTTGTAGCTGAAGAAGATCGCAGCAGATTGCAGAAATGTCTTCATTTTTAGTCTCAAGGAGGATACAGGAGAGAAACTTGGCGATCAAATTTGTGATGTGTTTGAACAAATTGCAGAAAAGCCACGCTTCGAAGCTGCTCAAATTGGGAATATGTCTGCTGAAAAACCCAGAGCTGTCAAAGTATCATTTTGAAACTCTAGCACCGTTCATCAGATACTGATCAAAGCTAAAGAACTCAGACTGTCTCAGTGTTTCAAAAGTAAATGACCAAATCAACTATTTGAAGGAGGAAACGAATATAGAGCACTTATTTCTGAAATTCTAAAGGTATATTGTCACTAGTGAGATTGTATAGGGTTGTACACTCCCTCTTTTTCTCTATTGTCACCATAAATTGAGAACGTTTTGAGTTAGGAACTCCAAAATTTCCAGACACATTTGGACTTGTTTTGATAATTGAAGTGCTTTCCTATAACTTCAAGTTCGTTGTTTACAACTAAGCCGAGTTATGACCATTTTAAGATCTGGCACGGATACATGATCCTGGCACTTAATCTCTGATTTCTTCACTCAATCAATGGCACTCAATCATTGATTTCGAATGATTTAGTTTCAAATTATTATTCAATTAAGTAACTTTTGGTGATCAATCCAGTGATCAAAACCAAATTGCCCAATCTTGCCTAAAAACGATGTTTAAATGTTGCATTGAAAATATCCACTTGCTAAAGTCACAATGATAAGAATTGGCTGTTAATAAACTGGTAAGTAGATGAGCATAACAGTGGAGTTCCCACCTACGAGTGGTAAACTGAGAGGTGGCGCGCCTGAGAGGTGGCGCGGTGTATGCAGAGTATGATAATGTCAGCCTTGCGGCGCAGCTGACATTAGCTTTCATTACGTTTGAATTATCGCGTCCGCGGTAAGGCTGACATTATCATACTCTGCATACACCGCGCCACCTCTCAGGCGCGCCACCTCTCAGCCAACACTCGTAAGTGGGAACTCCACTGTAATGAACTTAACAGGCATCAACCATCCTTAATGTTAACTATCAATAAACAAGTGTGTTTGTACAACGCAGTTTTAGGTATTTAATGGGTTTTCATCAGTAATAATTCTTGCTTGAAAATTACAGTCAGTTGGTGGTACTGTTAAATAGTTGTAAAATGGTAATGGTAAATATGACTGTCATTTCTCTCCACAATCGCTTGGTAAGAGGTTATCTTTTATTATAAAGGCTGAGCTAAAGCAGTCATAAGTATACTAAGATAAAAAAGGTCACATCAAGCTTGAACAAAGTACTTACATATTTCAGCCCATAGGATCGGTTGTTAATTATTATATCAGCATACAATAATGTTTGTCCGGAAAGCATCTCGTCCCAAAGGAAATTCTGGTTCAGCTAGAAATAATGATATTTGAAGTTCATATTTTAAATTCAAATATACTTTAATTAGAATAAACAAAATACATCAAGTTAGGTCTGTTTCTACACCAGGAAAATAGATTAATTGAAAAAATTGCTTCAAAACCTTCAAATACCTGCATTTCAAGAAATAATAACGAAACAGGTCTTCGAGTTCGATATTACAGCTCAACTAAGATAATCAAACTAAGTGGGACACACCAGCATTACAAAGCAGCTGTTTTTTGGCAAATGTGATTATAGGCCATTATTGAAGGCAGATATCTAGAGCTTGGAATGCATTTCGGGCATCAAAGAATGTGCACCTGTGTACCAAGGAAATTGCACGATTTGATTGGAAGTACATATATTTTTTCTAACACAGAATACTGCCCGTTATTGTTTATACAAGGCTTGAATGGGTTAATTGTAATTTCGGTATGAAGCATGATTGAAATGATCTGATAAAAGTGTAAAACGTTCAAAGTGTAAAACGTTCAAATCCTGTCCAGAACTAAACGAGTGTAACAAGGGATTTAATTTAGCAACATCCTGATCCACTAAGCTATTCTATACTAGAACAAGTTTCTAGTAGTCTCCAGCACATCGCAGCCAAAACGCAGTAACACTAACTCAGTTATATTAAATACCCTCTCAAGATCATTTAGTAACATCTGCATTACAATGTGCAACAAAACAACTACTATCAAACTAAATATACGGTGTGTGCATTGAGGCTCTCAGCTAATTGCTATGAGCGGCAACAAAAAGAAATTCGACCGAAAAGTATCAGCGCATATTTGATATGAGAATAAAAATGGCGCAACAAAAAATTTGGTTAAATCTCCTTATTGCGATTTCTAACTGCGCGGCGTAGCGCGTACTTTGAAATCCAAATAAAAATTATTTTTGATTCAAATATCGGAAAATAAAATTACGGCATACAGCAAATCTTGTGTAAAAAAATGTGATTAACAATATTCTGTAAAAAAATTTCGTAAAAAAATTTAAGAACACGATGCCCCGCCCCATTTTTTAAATGGTCATTTTTGGAACTTTGACGGGCTATAACTTTCGTTAGGAACAGCCATTTGCCCAAAACTTGGTACCAAACGATTCTACTCAATGAGACCTTTCCAATGATGTATAATATGTTGGGTTTTGAAACATAAAATGTTCACCCGCAAGTTGATGCTCTTAGTACATACACTATCTGATGAAAACCTAACCCTAACCAGAAATTTGACGTACCTCCTTACAATTTACATGGCCCTGTCAAAGTGATCAAAACAGTTTTTCGCCGGTGATTTGTCAGGGAGGCCGTGAATCGGAATTGGCGTCCAAAAATATATCGATTCAGTGCACTGTGCAACTTGGGGGCCCAAAAAATGCCGCGATTATAGTTGTTAATTCGATTAATTGTTTGTTCGACATCCCGAGTTTTACAGTATAACTATATGTACGTTCTTCATTGAAGTAGTCAGTAAAACAAGGACATGATACTATGTGTGGGGACTACGGACCCCATCATAACCCATTTCAAATTTGCCGCCTGGTTACATAGCACTAAAAAAATGTAATAGATTTGTAGTGTTGTAATTAGTTTAAAACAAATATATGATCTGCAGTTGATATACCCCAATCATCGTACCATTCGTGAATGAAAATTCGAATGTATCACTAGTGACTAGTAAGTAGTAACTATCGTACAGCTATTGTACCTACTGATCTAATTTGACTCATAATGATAAATGAGATGAAAGTTGTACATAACAGGAACGAGGAAGTCAAATGTCAATTCGCTTTACTTAATTTAGATCCTGAGATCGTTTGTGTCCTAGTTTTGCAATTTTGTTGCCAAATCCTCAATCCGAATAGTCAATCAGCGTATTCGGATTGACGACTCAATCAAACAAAAAGATATCAATTGAAATGGAAATTTGAGTGGCAGTGATGTAATTAACAGATATGCACATAGGAAATGGTTGATAGACGTGTCGAGATATTTGATCAATCGTTAATTATTGCAATCATAACTGTTCCGGAATATTGGTCGGAACATTTGGCAACTATTATAAACGAATCACTCAGCACATTTGCACATTTGGTCGCTTTTCTATAGTTTTGTTGCTAATTTCTAGATATACGTACTTACTTTTATTGCTGCGGGCGGTCGTTATTCGGTAACTTTTGACGTAATTTGTAGTTATTCGCATTCTTAGTGTTCCACATCATGTTGAGAATCCTAACTGTTGTTAATTTTCAGTAAAACTTCTATGATTGTACGGTTTCAGTAGTACGTGGTATATAACTGATCAGAGAATCTGAGGATACAAAACGCGCTATAAGCTAGCTGCTGATGGTCGTACTCGTGAATGAACGCAATGATTTAGGACATTCTCAGTCACGTGATGCCACACCACCCGACACTCTGATGAAGACACGTGACCTCGTGATGAAGACACGTGACCTCGTGATTGGACAAAACGGTGTGCCTATCTCCACTGCAGAGGAGATACTCCTGTCACATTTCTACAAGGTTGACAAAGATGCAAATCATTGTGAGTCATTTTCATACCCACATATTAATTCTGTGGCCTGCAGGCTGTTGTAGTGTCTGAGTAGCTGAGTTGTAGACACCAGAGAATGTTTGCCACCTCTCCTTTCTTCACTTCTTCTAGAATATTAAACACACATCATGCGTACAATGTTTTTGTAAACACCGAGAAATTTCCGAGCATGACAATAGAAGAAGCCAGGCAAGAAGTCCGTATCATGGCGACGGTCTAATCGCCTCCTCGCACCAAACTGCCACATTAATACTGCATATTTCACCCAATAAGTTGGGTCGGACAATTCCGTCTTCGGGTAGAAAGGAGTTTTTGCGGTGAAGTAGACGTTAGAAGACAGGCTCATTAGAGCTGTTGCTGACAAGGTACTTGTGATAATATCGACACTCTATTAGAAGGTGCAGACACTACCTGGTCGCCAACCTCACCAACTTCTTTCCCCCTCCACGTGCGGTATGCGTGCGCGGCTCTTCACCGCACGTGCAGAATACAAGCACAGTCATTTATACCACGAGCGTGATACGTGCGCGGCGCTTATCGACCCGACCTCATTGCGAACACTATTACGGCTGTGAAAACTCGTTTTATTTTGACTATAACTTGTCTGAGAGATGGCTGGGGTAGTTTGAAAGCAGTTGTGACGGGAAGTGAAGTGTGGTTGAAGAAGGAGCAGATAATTGTGTCGTAGTAAGATATGGAGTTGTCTGAGGGCCTGTGCGTGCTGCTACAACCTGATTAGCTGGAATTCTCTTCGCTGATTGGCCAGCCAGCCTCTACCCCACCTGACTGTGTTTTCTCACTTAACTTTTCCAGTATCGCGTGCTCTAACTACAGTTTGTTTATACACTGTGCATGTTTTCACCTGAGGCGGAGCATCATGACAGCCAAGTTGATACACCTGTTGAGTAACGAGTATTTCAAACTCTATTCCCTCTCCAGATCCTCTTTGTTACCTGGGTTCCTCCCTCCTGGAACTCTACTCAATGGAAAACGTGTTTCTATTTCTAGTAGTGAGTATAATCTAATAATTTCTAAATTTCTCATTTTAAAGAAATTGGCCACGTCCCTCATGGTCCCGTTAACGTACTTTTCCTGAAATTATTCTTGACAGGCTGATATTTGCACTGCGTTTCAAAATGCAATTATTTGACGAGTTAGAAACGTGGTCTGGAGAGGTTCTGGGAAAGGTTTTGGTTTGTTGGGCTTCTCTGCTCGTTACCTACCTTCTGTACTGACTCGTGATATCCAGGTTACTTCAGGAAAGCTTCATGCTAACTACCTGTAAAGTGCGTACAATTACCCGTCACAGCTTTGTTCCTATGAAATATTAACTTATTAAGTTGCACGTGATCCGCTGGATGGCCCACTTCCATTTCAACAGAACTTCAAGGGATATTCCTGGGTTCACCTAGTCAGAGTCTAACCATGCCTTATCCATCTCCTCACTTCGTCCAACCCAATACCGCCTCAAATTTGGCCAGGTTAATACTCTAATAGTTTTTCTCCCGCTAGCGTATCTGTTCAATTTGTGTTAGAACTTGTGTAGTTTTAGAGTGTAGAATAGAATTAATCAGGACTTGATTAAGGTCTAAAACGGAGGGGTCGGATTGTGGACTGCAGCTGATTTCTGGAATACTCCCGGACACTGATTTCTGGAATACTCCCGGACACTGATTTCTGGAATACTCCCGGACACTGATTTCTGGAATACTCCCGGACACTGATTTCTGGAATACTCCCGGAAATTTCTACTGAAGAGATAGTAGATAACACTAATATTTATAAAGGAGTAGTATTCTGACGACTAATGGTTCACTCCAAAAGCTTAGTGCACGAGGTGTCCACTTCCAGCATCATTAACAAAGGTGCTGAACAATCATATTTTGTCAAATTTCTTCTCTTTTGTTTCAAATATTTTAGTGATTTTGGGGGTGGGGTTGGAGGAGTGTGCCACGAGCAGATTAAAACGAGTATAATGTGCGAGATCAGGTTCCTGTTCAGAGAGCGACTGAAAATGGTAACCTTAGTTTTCCTTTACTTTTTCTTATCAGAATTAACTTAACAATCATCGTTAACAAATTTAACTTGTTTCAGTGACATGGAATGAAAATATCAATTAGTTAATTAATTATGATATCGGGTGGTAATTGTAATGTTGCATTTCTGTTTCATGCGCTCACAGGTTGATCTTGAATTTTTAATTCGTTTAAGGACAACGTTGTAAGATATTTTGCCGCTGCATACGTTTCGTGGACCGAAAATAAAAACTTTGTTCTTTACAACCTGTTATTTACTACTTTACTACTAATTAACTATAATGATATGTGACTCAACACTAGACAGGTTCTAAGAGGTATCCCTAATTCCATGCAACAATCTGACTGTCTGAGATTCAATTATTCCTGGGAAAAAATTAAAAGAATAATACTGCAATAATTTTATCGCTCAAAGATGACTATAAGATTATAATTAAGATACAATGACACCAATAGTTTAAGACTACTCCCTTGCTAATTATGCTTTGTTTTAAAATATGCACCCACTCGCCTGCAACTTCGACAGATTGATGAAATCGACAGATTGAAATTAAACTTTGGACGAATCCGGCGGCCAATAAAAAATCCCATTGTTCCCAATTTCACTTTACTTATCTTGTGAATCTCAGGCATGTGTAACGAAATATTTGAGCGTATCATAACTTTATAACAATTTATATGCGTGAAATCGATAATATACGCCTCCCGATTTGACGTAACCGTCATAAAGTTATATCATTCTCAATAAGTTGCACTCTATTTCAACTATATCAACACTTTGCTCCAAACGCTTAGTTTATAGTTACCTAGTTTCCTACTGTACTACTGCACTGATACATTTTAAACTCGTTTATCTCGTTTTCAGACACCGTATACCCCATTTGTATCCTCCCTGGCGGCACCCCCTGGCGGCACCCCTCCCTGGCGGCACCCCTCCCTGGCGGCACCATCATTCCTGTCCTACTCCAATGGAAACCCCAAAATATTTTACCATATACATGTTTCAGTCGCTTCATGATAATCACTTATTGCATTTCTATATCCCGTTGTTTACTTGTCAACAGGTTTATATTTCCATGCTCTGACGAGCAATCACATTTACACTATCTTTATTCTTGGTATATTCGGTGGACCCCTCTTCATTAGTCATTATATTATACAACATTAATATCACTTCATCCATTTTTTATTAATCGTATCTATAAGTTCACTGTCGATATTTTTATTCTTTCTGTCATAAGCAATAAGCATAAACTGACGAAGGCACGCAATCGTTAGTTTAATACCATCAGCGCGGATGATGTTGGCATTCTCTGCTAAATTTGGGGGTTGTGAAATGTGTTTTGAAATCGGAAACTGACAATGTAACTCTCCTTGTAGTAACATTATCATTACGAAGTTAAGCAATGAGCCGTTTGTGCTACTAGACTGTACACTTAACAGTTAACTGATACGACGGTAATCAAACTGGTCTTATATTATTTAGTTTTATCGCCAAGAAATGGCAAAAGACCTGAAAAAAACGACAGCTTTTGGATATTTGACTGGAAATTCTTAATCCTGATAGGAGGAAAGTGAAATTGAAGCATAAGATCAAAGGTTCCCGGTAACAATGGCTTATACATTTTGACGCACCATTTGAACCTGTTTTATGCAACGTCACCTTCAGGGAACAGTTCTTAATAACAGTTAATAATGGTAATCAAATAATTGTCATTTTTGTGTTGAACCTAACATCTGTAACGGCTGTTCGCTCTACTGTAGAAGACCTTGTCCTCTTAAAACCTGTCAGGGAAGTGTTTGCTTCGTCACATACCTACTTCTTACCGGACCATCTGGTCTTTCGTACCTTTTGTGTGTTACTTTTTACGGCCCTGCTCTCATTTTGAAGCGTGTCAACCTTTTTTTGTAATTGTGGGCCACTTATTTTAGTCGAAGTTTTGAGCCACAGTAACTTCAAGACCGAAAGACGATGAAAAAATTACGAAGATTATCAATCGAACCAAGAAACTTTTTGAGATCAACTTTCCGTCGATACAGTGACTTTGGTAGAAACCGTGTCATCGCCAATCCAGAATGCTCCGATTTGTCCTACTTTTCGGATATCATCTCTAACCCCTCTGTTCCGGACATTGTTGTGTCTACTCCAGTATACATAGACCTTTACCGACGGGAAAGCTTCTGTACGTTTCATGTTGGTTTATCGTTTGTTGATGCACATTTAAATAAGCAAACGTTACATTTAAATACCTTAACACGTTAAAACAAACGTTACTGACCCTAATTTAGACTGATCTCTCAGCCCCTGGGCTTTAGCTTCCTTTCATAGTTCTGATATTTCCGAATGTGGAGATACAGCGTAGGTCCTCAAAAATCTGGGGAGTGGAAATTGGAGATTGTGCGAAGTTGTGTTAAGCCAAAAATTACAACAAATGTTGCACAGGTCGGTCATATAATCAGTCGCGCATTTATTTCAATGTACAGTTTATCTCCTATAAGATAAGAAATCATAACTAAAGATAAGCTGAACTGGATGCACACTGTGAAAAGAAAAGTATCATTAACATAAGTGAAGAGGTTCGTATAAATTTGACTGACAATAAAGGCGACCCCTTATCTCGAACGGTTTTTATTCTCCAATTTGCGCGGCTTTTATTTCCCATTTTACAAACGTACCGCCTGTCAAAATTGATGGCGCCCATCGAGATCACACACGAAAACGAGAGCCTTCCCATGGGGTAAAGGGAGATAGTTACTTACTTTAGGTTACTTTAGGTTACTTTAGGTTACTTAAGGTAACTTTAGGTTACTTTAGGTTACTTTCGGTTACTTTAGGTTACTTTAGGTTACTTTAAGTTTAGGTAAAGGGAGATATTCCCCCGCCAACTTCTTCCCTTATTGGTGACTAGTACCCAGGCACCACTGATACTGCAAGTGTGATTTTACAGAGGTTACCACCAACCACCCCCAATGTTGAGCTCCGCCGCACCCCCCACATCGGGTACAAGGCCTTTGCCGGCCGCCAAAACAGCGTAATTTAAGGAGTAAAGAAAAGAGGTTGCAGATCATAACGGTACGTTATTAGTATTGTGAGAATTGAAACAAGACTGGCAGATAGGGATGGAACGGGGTAAAATGTTTAAATCTGAAAGACGTAGACACGCTTTACGAGTTCAAGCAAGCCGTGTAACAAAGTAACAAGTAAAGGACACAATCTCTTGGCTGATATTCCTGAAACCGTCTGTAGACTTAGGGGTTTTTCTCTCAACCGGAACAGTTTGCTCTGTTTGATAAACGTAGTGTGCTACTTTACAGTTTACTCGTACATGTCATAGAACTAGCAAGTTTCAAGTGGAGTGCACGTGAGAAATGCTCATACCTGTAATAGAGATTTCTACGGATTCAGGATAGTTTGATTTACTTTTCAAGTAGAGCAGCTCACAGCTCAACACTTGATCATTCTAAGAAGTTATTGCTACAACTGTTCACAGTTCTATAAGGATTATAGACCGAGACCGAGGTCTATGCTTAGTAGATGCTGCAATTTGAATGTTACACCTTTTTCCAGAAACATCAAACTGTCCAGCGTTTTTCTGCTGCTGAACCCCAGTCACATACACACTGTGACATCGCAACATTCGTAATAGTATACGGCAAAATCTCACCAATTCATCATTCAAAACAGGTCTCCTATATGTTTGTATATATACAAACAATGATATTAAGATTTTATTCTATGCAACGAGTTAGAGCATTCATACTCATAGTAGGGAAGCAAGACTAGTGACTATCTGAGATAGACAACTATGCTCCGAGATCATATGTTTCTCATGTGGTATTGTTCTCCTAATTTATTATTCAAAATCCGTTTGGATTTAATTAGTTCTTACAATACATAAAACCATTCATACGGTCACATGTACTGAAAAGCAGTTTGCTGTCCGTAGTTCTTTATGGTTACTTCAAGTAGAGGGGTGCCGCCGCTCGTCACTTTCTTTTGTTGTATCAATCGAAACTGTTCTTTTCAGTATTATTTGCTATTTATTCGAAACAGTCAACATGTTTTCTCACAGATAAGCCTCTTTATTTCACTCTTCTTTGACGGAAAGGGATATTATTTTTCAGACTAAATTTTATTTTTGTAATCGTGAAAAGTGAGAGTGAAGTTTCTTCAAGATGTTCAACAAAAACTTAAAACCAAACACTATGGCCAGCCCGCTTCTTCTAGGATATTCTCGAAAGTTCTCAAATCAGTATCTGAAAGCAGAAGTGGAAGGATTCCGTACGTAATAATCTCAGTTCAAACTTTTTGCTTGATTTAGTGATTGGAATATTTTCTGCTAAAACACACAAATTATGTTCAAACTTGCAATTAACGAGATCAGTGACTGTTATCAAGAAGGATTTCTCGTGTAGAGAAAGAGCCAAGCTTAACTCATATTATTCATGTATTCCCTGATCCGATAATTTTATCTGTTAAACCGGATTAAGGCCCAGTCCAGGGACTGAATTCCGTCAGTCTGATCAGCTATCTTCTTGCCACCCAATCGCGGGTTTACTACTCACATGTAACTATGGTAACACGTGACATTGAGTATCACATGTAACTATGGTAACACGTGACATTGAGTATCACATGTAACTATGGTAACACATGACATCATGTAACTATGGTAACACATGACATCACATTCGTACTCTTGAAGTGGTTCACTGAGGGTTCCTTTAACTTTTAGGTATTTTGGAAGCTTCTCTTTCAGTTTTGAATAATAATTTGTGGGTGGTGTATAATGTACGGACAGTAGCCTCATGATATTGACAACCACAGACAGAAACAGTTTCTAGACATTACCATTACCTACAGAGTTTCTAACTCTACTAACTACAGACAGAAACAGAGTGATACAACAGTTTCTAGACATTACCATTACCTACAGAGTTTCTAACTCTACTAACTAACTACAAAAAATCAGAATAATCAGAAATTATTTGGAACTCCCAAAAACTGTCTACTAGCTACAGAGACTCTATACTAACTCTATGACTATGGGGACTCTAAATCATCTACTAATTAACCTAATTTCAGTTGAAAGACAGAAAGTATTAGAAGACAAGAAGAGAGAAACAAAAGCCTGGTTTGAGACATATTTCAGAGAGCTCCTGAAAACGCCTGTTGGCAAGGAAGAGGATCTCGAGATTACGAAGAAGGACTTCCTCAAACTTCTCCACAACAAAGATGTGAGTTGCATTTGTGGAACTGTCATTTTTCATTTATCTTATTATACTAATAAACTTGTTGTAAATTAAACTTGCATTAACGCGGCTTGAAGTTCTGTGATTTTTTTAAAGAACCCAAAATCAAGTTCTTGTGTTTTAAATATATCCCTGTGTTTGAAAAGTATGATTTCAGGAGTTTGCGGAGCACTCTTTCCGGTTATTCGATAGTGACGACTCTGGTGACGTGTCAATACAGGAGATACAAGCTGGTCTTAATAAACTATCCGAGTAAGTATCCAATCAAAAATTATAATCAGTATTAGAAGTAGAGTCTACTTTTTTCCAAAATTTTGAAACCTTTAAGATAGAACATTAATCAGTATGTTATGTCTTCTTATGTCTTTTCGAGTACTAACGTTAAACTTAAATTTGCAAAGAAGCGCATTCGAAAGATAAGTCTACATTTTTGAGAATACTGAAAGTTTCAGTGAAACAGACTTTCTATCAAATCAAACACACTCACGATAACCAACAAAGTTATTTGGTCGTCTCAATAAACTGAAAAATGTGTTCCTTGTAGCGGCTAGAGCCGCTAAAACGTGCTAATAAATGATGCTCTGAAATCAGATTACAGCATTACTTGAGTTTCTTGCATACCATATTTCAAAAGAATCTCAAATAAAGTGCGGAGCAGGTAAAGTCGATTATTCATCTACAATTTACATCATGTACAATGTACAATGTACAATGTACAACGTACAATCCAAGCCATGTATGTTATAACCAAAGAATTTAAATCCACGCTGTATTTTTATCGCTACTCAATTAATCTTCTTCAATAACCCAACTTAAAGCATTCTTTTTACCCCTATTGACTATTCCCTTGTTCAAACCCAATTCCATATCTGCAAATAAATATTTAATAAATACTTAATAAAATAACATTTATTAAGTATTTAGATAACTCTCTAGATGACGGTAAGCCTCAGATGACATAGTATTGCACAACTTCTCCCGATGCGTTTTATTTTGCCTTTTAGTAAGACATAAACAAGATAATGAAGTTACAAAGACTTGTCTGGCACATCATTATAGGGCGTATTTTCCCAACAACATATTAAGCAAAAATAAAAAGCTTTAATCTATACTGTATAGTATTTCTTAAAAAAATGTTACTTAAATGGTCCTAGAATTATGTTGATTTAAATCTGAAATTTGTTTTGGTCGTCATGTCTGTATTTGGTATTAAAATAGGACGAATAGATTAATAACCAATCGGTTATTAACCGGGTATTAACCAATTGAATCCAATAGTTCAATACGTCTGAAAATATCGAATGTGGGAATAGTCCAGGTGAAAACAAAGGGGTCAATTTATAGGTTGTCCAGAACTTGTCAAGCGTTTAGCTGTTTAGGTGTGACCAGAGCACATTTCCGGATAACCATAAAATCCAACCCATCCTAAATCACTTATTTCACACCCGTTCATCTTAGAAAGACTAAAACTATTGTAATTGACAAAGCCAATACGCGTTGAACATAGACAATTCTCCCCTTGGATTCCAGTTTATGATGAAGGCTCCCAGTTTGCTTGGCAAATTATCTACAGTGTACAGTGTAAAAGTAACTGACTCAGAGAGATTTGCTTTCTGTCATACCCGAACAGAAAGAAAACTGCTCGTAGAGCTGTCATACCCGAACAGAAAGAAAACTGCTCGTAGAGCTGTCATACCCGAACAGAAAGAAGACTGCTCGTAGAGCTGTCATACCCGAACAGAAATAAAACTGCTCGTAGAGCTGTCATACCCGAACAGAAATAAAACTGCTTCTAGAGCTGTCATACCCGAACAGAAAGAAAACTGCTTGTAGAGCTGCCATACCTGAACAGAAAGAAAACTGCTCGTAGAGCTGCCATACCCGAACAGAAAGAAAACTGCTCGTAGAGCTGTCATACCCGAACAGAAAGAAAACTGCTCGTAGAGCTGTCATACGCGAACAGAAAGAAAACTGCTCGCAGAGCTGCCATACCTGAACAGAAAGAAAACTGCTCGTAGAGCTGCCATACCCGAACAGAAAGAAAACTGCTCGTAGAGCTGTCATACCCGAACAGAAAGAAAACTGCTCGTAGAGCTGTCATACCCGAACAGAAAGAAAACTGCTCGTAGAGCTGCCATACCCGAACAGAAAGAAAACTGCTCGTAGAGCTGTCATACCCGAACAGAAATAAAACTGCTCGTAGAGCTGTCATACGCGAACAGAAAGAAAACTGCTCGTAGAGCTGCCATACGCGAACAGAAAGAAAACTGCTCGTAGAGCTGTCATACCCGAACAGAAAGAAAACTGCTCGTAGAGCTGTCATACCCGAACAGAAAGAAAACTGCTCGTAGAGCTCTCATACCCGAACAGAAAGAAAACTGCTCGTAGAGCTGTTTGATCTTTGACCATCAGAGTATTTCCTGAAAATTGTTGACCGTGATTAATGGTAGAGTTATTCTCGTGGTATCAGTAGGGACTCACTGTCGATGACATGCTTGTTCTCCAATTCTATGTGGTATTATTTATTAATTATTATGTGTATATTGTTTATTATCTCTCTCTCTGTTCTGGTCAACGGTTTCTGCCTCTGGGGTGTGGCAACCCTGAAGGAGGTTGCCGTGTTAACTATGTGGAGATAATGGAGATGAAGTGGCAAGTAAAATAAAGGGGAATGAGGTATTATTTTATAACAATAAAATTACACAGCAGTAACCATTACGAAATTGTGTTTTCAGTGATTGTGATATTTGACGTTGCTAATATGGAACGTGGATGCCATAATCTTAGTTCAAAACTTGGATACATACTTATCGTAACCTATTTGTCTTTTCTCGTATTTTTATTTTGCCAAAGTCTTATCCAACGTGACAAAGGAGCACACGTGTCCTTATCAACTGATGTGGACTCTGTTCGAGCAGTGTCGGATCTACAATCCCATCAGTTGCGTTCATTAGGAGGAAGTGAAGGATCTAACAGTAGCGCAGGTGTCACAGAGAATGCCTTGAAGGAAGTTTCAAACAATTCGGCAGCAGCTGAAATTAGGAAGCAACATGAGTTTAAAGCGACTACTACTACTACCACTTCCCAAACCGATACTACTATAGCTAGTTCTACTGCCACTACTTCTAAAACTGTCTCACCGAGCGACAAAATAAAGCAATCAGCAAGCTTTTCTCACAAATTGAAATATCGTCTCCAATTTCCCGACAAAGGCTTGTGTGTTGGCATTTCCAAATTAAAGACACTTACACTGTCTTTTTGTAACCCGGTTAAACAACAAGCTTTCTACCACATCAACGGATTTCTGAGATCTGTAGAATTTTCACTTTGTGTCGGTTTGGCGGGATTCAACAACTCTACCTCTGGTGACAGTCTGACACTGCTAGATTGTACACAAGCAATCAGTTTGAACTTAGAAAAAGGTAGACTCATCTACAGGGATGATCAAGCAGATGGTCGTGGAGTACTCTGCATTGCTCCCGAAGGAGGTGGAGGCATATGGTTGGGAAAGAAAATAGTTCTGACTAAAAAATGTAAAAAAGATGCATCTCAGATTGATCTCCTTGAGGAAAGTGCATTTCTACGTGACAGAGCAGCGCTTTTAATGCCGTCTGGAGATAAGTCTTGTGATTCGCCATCCAATAACCGGCCACCAATGGCTAAGCTCTTACCTGAGATACAAGTTGAAAGATGCAAAATGTTATCTGAATGTGTAACTGTGGTGGTGAAGACAGCACGGAGACCTCTACTGGTTATCAGACTTGCAGAATCAATAAAAACAGTACTCAATCAGGATCTTCCGATGATAGTGATCGATGATGGCCCCAACCCGCATCCCTCGGATATCGTGGCCAAAATTGCCCGATTCCCAAATATAAATTACGTTATAACTGAAAGTAGGGATCTTGGAATTAGTGAAGGCAGAATGATAGGAGTTAACATGGTAACGACAAAATACTTTGTAAACATGGACGACGACAATGTGGTCACAGAATCGTGGGACGCCGCTAAAATGGTAGAACTACTCGATACAACTGACTTATCTTTAGTGGGTGGGAGAACCGACTCGATGGACTGGCCTGGGTTTATGGAATTTGGTTGTGACGAATCAAAACCAACTCTTAATCATTATTCGAGATCCTGCAGGATTGCTAACCAGAGCTTGCCTTTCTTTTCAGATTGTTTGCGATGCGATCTGACCAGTAACAGTTTCATGGCAAAGACTAAAGATATTCTTGAAGTTGGTGGTTGGAGCAAGGAGCTAAAAGTACACGAACATCAGGATATTTTCTTGAGATTGAAAGCTGCTAGCAAGAAAGTTGTCTGGTGTCCTAAATTCCATGTTTTAAATTTGCACATTAACAATGATGATACGACTGTTATCGACAATGCTTACGAAAAGCTGAGATACGGTAGAGAGTGGCAGATGAAGAAGGTATTTGAGAATCATTGGAATGTTAAATACTACAAATTATTTACGGGAAGCATGGAGGAATGGCCTAACACATGGGAAAACGACAAATATTAACGAGAGGTCAAAATTGAAAATACTTGCAAGTTTAGAGCTTACTTACAGTTATTTTGAATGGATACTATTAAGATCATTTAACATAAAGTGACTCTGCAGGGTTTTGATCTTTAGAACCGTTACACCCATTATAAGTAACATTCCTTAAAGTTGGAAACATCTGGTATTCATGAATACAAACTATAAATTGATAAGATGAGTTTTGGGTTCAAGCACAATATTGACGTTCCGTTTTCTATCACGATATCTTAATTTAGTTGTTTGCTGTGTTTAACCTTGAAAATATCAAATCAACCAAGAAAATCTTTACAATTAAAACGGCTGCGTAAAAACTTTAAAGTGCCACTGGAACTAAATGCCGAGTTTGAACTGCCTTAAAGTTAGCCTCTGAGCGTCAGTTTTAGTCCTGACAACATTCTTGTCGGCATTTCCATATAACCTCAGCTGTAATCTAAAAACTGTTACCTTGCTATTGCAACAGATAATATTCAACCATGTTTCAAGCAAAATTATACTCCTTTACAGAGAAGTATATCATCAATTTGCTACACTTAACTTGGTTCTTATAATTAAATGGACAAAAATATGCAAAGGCTAGACCCCCTTCAAAAGCTTCAGCTTTTAAACAAATCTTACCAATTTGGCTATATTTGGATTTTGGTAGTAATTTAACAAGAAAATAGCTATAGCCTTAGGGGCTAGGTGGCCTAGTGGTTAGAGCATC